GTGACACACACACACACAGTGACACACACACACAGTGACACACACACAGTGACACACACACACAGTGACAGACACACACAGTGACACACACAGTGACACACACACACACAGTGACACACACACACAGTGACACACACACAGTGACACACACACAGTGACACACACACACACAGTGACACACACACAGTGACACACACACACACAGTGACACACACACACACAGTGACACACACACAGTGACACACACACACACAGTGACACACACACAGTGACACACACACAGTGACACACACACACACAGTGACACACACACACAGTGACACACACAGTGACACACACACACACAGTGACACACACACAGTGACACACACACACACACAGTGACACACACACAGTGACACACACACAGTGACACACACACACACAGTGACACACACACACACAGTGACACACACACAGTGACACACACACAGTGACACAAACACAGTGACACACACAGTGACACACACACACACAGTGACACACACACACACAGTGACACACACAGTGACACAAACACACACAGTGACACACACACACAGTGACACACACAGTGACACACACACACAGTGACACACACACACAGTGACACACACAGTGACACACACACACACACACAGTGACACACACACACAGTGACACACACACACAGTGACACACAGTGACACACACAGTGACACACACACACAGTGACACACACACACACAGTGACACACACACACACAGTGACACACACACAGTGACACACACACAGTGACACACACACACAGTGACACACACACAGTGACACACACACACACACACAGTGACACACACACACACACAGTGACACACACACAGTGACACACACACACACAGTGACACACACACACACAGTGACACACACACAGTGACACACACACAGTGACACACACACACGCAGTGACACACACACAGTGACACACACACACAGTGACACACACACAGTGACACACACACACAGTGACACACACACAGTGACACACACACACACAGTGACACACACAGTGACACACACACACAGTGACACACACACAGTGACACACACACAGTGACACACACACACACAGTGACACATACACACAGTGACACATACACACAGTGACACACACAGTGAAACACACACAGTGACACACACACACAGTGACACACACACAGTGACACAGACACACACAGTGACACATACACACAGTGACACACACACACAGTGACACACACACACACACAGTGACACACACACACAGTGACACACACACACAGTGACAAACACACAGTGACACACACACAGTGACACACACACACAGTGACACAAACACAGTGACACACACACAGTGACACACACACACACAGTGACACACACACACACAGTGACACACACACACACACAGTGACACACACACACAGTGACACACACACACAGTGACACACACACAGTGACACACACAGACAGTGACACACACACACAGTAACACACACACACAGTGACACACACACACACATAGTGACACACACACACACAGTGACACACACACAGTGACACACACACAGTGACACACACACACACAGTGACACACACACAGTGACACACACACACAGTGACACACACACAGTGACACACACACACATAGTGACACACACACATAGTGACACACACACACAGTGACACACACACACACAGTGACACACACACGCAGTGACACACACACAGTGACACACACACACAGTGACACACACACACAGTGACACACACACACAGTGACACACACACAGTGACACACACACACACAGTGACACACACACACAGTGACACACACACACACACAGTGACACACACACACACAGTGACACACACACACAGTGACACACACACACACACAGAGTGACACACACACACACAGTGACACACACACAGTGACACACACACACACAGTGACACACACACACACAGTGACACACACACACAATGACACACACACAGTGACACACACACACACAGTGACACACACACAGTGACACACACACACAGTGACACACACAGTGACACACAGTGACACACACAGTGACACACACAGTGACACACACAGTGACACACACACAGTGACACACACACAGTGACACACACACACAGTGACACACACACACACACAGTGACACACACACACAGTGACACACACACACACACAGTGACACACACACAGTGACACACACACACAGTGACACACACAGTGACACACACACAGTGACACACACACACAGTGACACACACACGCAGTGACACACACACACACACACAGTGACACACACACACAGTGACACACACACACACAGTGACACACACACAGTGACACACACACACAGTGACACACACACACACACACAGTGACACACACACACAGTGACACACACACAGTGACACACACACACACACAGTGACACACACACACAGTGACACACACACACAGTGACACACACACACAGTGACACACACACAGTGACACACACACACACAGTGACACACACACACACAGTGACACACACACACAGTGACACACACACACAGTGACACACACAGTGACACACACACACACACAGTGACACACACACACAGTGAAACACACAGTGACACACACACAGTGACACACACAGTGACACACACAGTGACACACAGTGACACACACAGTGACACACACACACACAGTGACACACACACACAGTGACACACACACAGTGACACACACACAGTGACACACACACACAGTGACACACACACAGTGACACACACACACACAGTGACACACACACACACAGTGACACACACACAGTGACACACACACACACAGTGACACACACACAGTGACACACACACAGTGACACACACACACACAGTGACACACACACACAGTGACACACACAGTGACACACACACACACACAGTGACACACACACAGTGACACACACACACACACACAGTGACACACACACAGTGACACACACACAGTGACACACACACACACAGTGACACACACACACACAGTGACACACACACAGTGACACACACACAGTGACACAAACACAGTGACACACACACAGTGACACACACACAGTGACACACACACACAGTGACACACACACACACACAGTGACACACACAGTGACACAAACACACACAGTGACACACACACACAGTGACACACACAGTGACACACACACACAGTGACACACACACACAGTGACACACACAGTGACACACACACACACAGTGACACACACACACAGTGACACACACACACACAGTGACACACACACACAGTGACACACACACACAGTGACACACAGTGACACACAAACACAGTGACACACACACAGTGACACACACATACAGTGACACACACACACAGTGACACATATAGTGACACACACACACACAGTGACACACACACACAGTGACACACACAGTGACACACACACACACAGTGACACACACACAGTGACACACACACAGTGACACACACACAGTGACACACACACACAGTGACACACACACACACAGTGACACACACACACACACAGTGACACACACACACAGTGACACACACACACAGTGACACACACACACACAGTGACACACACACAGTGACACACACACAGTGACACACACAGTGACACACACACACAGTGACACACACACACAGTGACACACACACACACAGTGACACACACACAGTGACACACACACACAGTGACACACACACACACACAGTGACACACACACACAGTGACACACACACAGTGACACACACACACAGTGACACACACACACAGTGACACACACACACACAGTGACACACACACACACAGTGACACACACACACAGTGACACACACACACAGTGACACACACACAGTGACACACACACACACACAGTGACACACACAGTGACACACACACACAGTGACACACACACACAGTGACACACACACACAGTGACACACACACACAGTGACACACACACAGTGACACACACACACACACAGTGACACACACAGTGACACACACACAGTGACACACACAGTGACACACACAGTGACACACAGTGACACACACAGTGACACACACACACAGTGTGACACACACACACAGTGACACACACACAGTGACACACACACACAGTGACACACACACACAGTGACACACACACAGTGACACACACACACAGTGACACACACACACACAGTGACACACACACAGTGACACACACACACACAGTGACACACACACAGTGACACACACACAGTGACACACACACACACAGTGACACACACACACACAGTGACACACACAGTGACACAAACACACACAGTGACACACACACACAGTGACACACACAGTGACACACACACACAGTGACACACACACACACAGTGACACACACAGTGACACACACACAGTGACACACACACACACACAGTGACACACACACACACACAGTGACACACACACACAGTGACACACACACACAGTGACACACAGTGACACACACACACAGTGACACACACACAGTGACACACACATACAGTGACACACACACACAGTGACACACACAGTGACACACACACACACAGTGACACACACACACAGTGACACACACAGTGACACACACACACAGTGACACACACACAGTGACACACACACAGTGACACACACACAGTGACACACACAGTGACACACACACACACACAGTGACACACACACACACACACAGTGACACACACACACACAGTGACGTCACACACACAGCAACGTCACACACACAGCGACATCACACACACACAGTGACGTCACACACACAGTGACGTCACACACACAGTGACGTCACACACACAGTGACGTCACACACACAGTGACGTCACACACACACAGTGACGTCACACACACAGTGACAC